AGGCTGCTCTCCTCGTCTTGATGCAGGGGGTCACCTTCAAGGTCCGAAGCTTCGTCAGGGGGGAAAGAGAGGGAGGGTGTGGTGGTGCAAGAGGACACGGTGGCGTCCGACAGCGTCCTTTGTGAGGCGAGAGACACGGGACTGGGAGTACTCGTGCGACAGCTTTCAGAGGCCAAGGAGGTGAGGGAGGAGATGGAGGACGCACAAGGGGAAGGCAACGACCCCGTCACTCCGGCGCCTGCGCTCTCGTCGCACCCGTTGGCACGCCTCTTGTCTCGGGACCCGCCCGCCTCCTGGATAAGCGCATTGGAGGCACCTGTCGGTCTCCTTCCACCCCTTGAGAAGACCATGCGTTTGCCGTCCATAAGGAGCTGAAAATCGCCGTCGCCGAGCCTCCCGCTCCGCTTCGCCTGCTCCACCTTCTGGAAATACTTCTGGGCGTGACTCCGGATTTGGCCAAGGCTCCGAGTGGTCAGCATCTTGTGTATTTGTTTCCAGTGTTTCCCATGAGCGTCAAGGCCCTGCAAGAAGAGGACGTGCTCCTCATTCGTCCACCGTCCTGAGAAGGCAAAAGGAAGGGAGGGGACACAGGGTTGCTGGATTGAGCTAGGGAAGCACAGAGGTGATGTGGAGTTATCGACAAGTGCTCGCGGGCTGACTCTGCTATCCCAATGAAAGAATGTGTGTGTGTGGGGGGGGGATCTCATACAGGATTGCACTTCAACGCTACCATCTCGTGGCTACGCGGTGCTGAAGGATCTCGATTCAACTACACACCTAACAAATTGACACACGCAATCCTCTTGAGGAAACCATTTCATGTTGTGCTGCTATGTTGCCCCTTTCCCTTTGTGATCTCTTACCATTGTTATGCTTCGGCTTGCTACACGTCCTTCTACCACGTCGTTTGTTACCAATGTGACCCGCAGTGCCATCTGCAGCACGTGCCACTACAGACACCAGTGTTTCGACTGAGTGCGGCAAGAAGTGAGCATCGTAGTAGAAAGCATTTGGTCTTGGCGTTTCTTTATCTCCAGCATCATGGATTGTGTGCTCTGTCAGGTACTCTGAGGCGCTGAGGCTATCGCAGCATTCTCCGAGCTCCCCAGCACAGGCCACCATGGGGCATACCACGGAAGCCACGCGTAGTTGTACCCGAGACTGCTTCTACTGATATAGATGGGACAAGAGGCAGGGACGATGATGGAGATAGAGTGAGCAAGAGAGATGTACTACGGCATGACACCGAGGGTTTCCTTAAGAGAGACACCACGAGGAGCGGGTACCAGGGAATGGTCTCACTCGGAGTGGGACCATATACATATGGGACCCTTGTACAAGCAAGAGCAAAGGAACGATGGTATCATCGAGGCTTGCATGGGCGTGAAGGGGTAGGGGTGAGAGTCACAATTCACAAGGCGCCGAGAGGTCGGGGGTAGAGTCAGGGTTGGGACTGAAGGGGAAAGAGCGGTAATACTGTGCCTTGTTCACAGCGGAAATAAGACATGTATATACAGAATTCAAGTGATAGCTAGCACAAGTCCAGAGTCAAGCCGTAAGGAAGAGGTTCCTCCACACAAAGTAGGAAAATCAAAGGCGCTCAGATGCTCAGGTCCGTGCCTTTGAGCGGCGGTGGCACCGAGCGTTCTCGCTCCTTGGGCCTGAGCCCAGCCTCTCAGTCCTTGCTTTTTTGGCCTGTAGGGGCACATTAGGAGCTTTGTGTGGCCCCTGTAACACGCCCTAGACATGATTACACGAATAGCATCAAAGCACACGTTATCTCTCACTCGACCTCCCTCCACTTGACCCGAGGTCTTAACTCAGCAATTGCGACCATTATCGGGCGGGCATCGACCCTCGGAGACTGGATTGAACGCTTCCACAAAATATCCCCGAACAAGCACAACATTACATACGGAGCTCTCTGTGGACCATGTTATATCGGTGGAATTCAGCACGGCATGGTTGCTCTTTCTGCCATGTAAAGAAGTCATTACACGCTGACAAACGCCCCCCCGGAAGTTCTGGAATTTAAAGACCGAGATGCCTCATTGAATATACGGCTGCAAACGACTAACATCCTTTACATGCGTCATGCCAACACATACACACCGTACACATCCATGCCAGAGGTACACTAAGCAACCACGTGAGAATCCCTTTGACGCATCCTGGGAAGGCTGCTCTTGCTTAGAATAATCTTCAAAAGGATGCAGTCGAGGACATCGGGTAGAGGAATTTTTGGGTCAAGACGAGATCGATCTTCTGCAGGTTATCACCGAAGGCTCCGGCCCACAAAGTCCTACTGAGACCCGAACCCAAATTAGGATTATCCGAGCCCCAATGCTGGCTCTGATTATTCCTTACATTTTTGTCATTAGTCCTGCACGCACCTGGTAACAATTTCTTGCTCAGTGTTTGTCTAGCAATTTTTAGCTGAGGAAACTTGTGATCTTTCTCGCCACGCAAAACATTTTTTTGGTAGAAGTAAAAGTTTAAACTTTCGCATTCAGTGATTGCCTAGCAGTTTACTTGAGAAAAGTTGTACTTCTCCTCGCCAAGTACCTTCAACCCCATGAAGAAGTACTTTATCAGAAATTCTCATCCAATGATTACCCAGCAGTTTTACTTGAGGATCGTGATATTCCTCGCCATCTAGCTTCAATATCATGAAGACCTGCTATGCAAATCCCATGACACACAGATATCCAGGTGTGGATGCTTTGCACAACTGCATCGTACGCGATTGACTACAGTCTATCATTCAAGGTTCTCTTCAAATCTGTCGCATCTTTCCAGCCGATCTCGTTCGTCTTCACAAGCAAGAAAACTGCCTTCACATACCTAATAGATTCTCCTTCTCCTCGCTTAATCATAACTCGTGTCACATTTCTAATGCTACAACCTGTCATAGAATTGCGAGCTCATCGATCGAAGTGCTCGTCATTTCCCGCCAAAGATTACCCCCCGATTCTATCTCCCCTCCTCCTGAAAGAATCCGATCGCCTCTTCCAACCCCACGGCAGCAGACAGAGGAAGGAAGGAGATCACAAGGGGGGGGGGCGGACATCACGAT